AATAAAAATCGACACCGCCCTGACATTTTCGATTATTAAACGAATTCACGTCAGATTTCGAGATCAGCATCTTTTTATCATGTGAGTGATCATAAATACTGATTCGTGAGCAACAGCGTTTGAAGTCGGATGACTTCGTCATTCTAAACATGGGGCGCCCCTCCACAACCAAGACAGTCCGACGACAGTGGTCACGTACGAATCAAATCTGACACTTGCTTCGTTTAGACGCTGCTTTCAGTTCAGTGTCTGAAGGCTGGCTACGTAGCGATGACTCAAGCGTGCAAACCTTCTTCATTGTTTCCAAATTCATTTTCCTTTCTTTGTAGTTTACATACCTGATTCGCCTTGGTGTTACGCACTGCCACGTGCAGAATGCCTCGGGAACTCACCTACCAGCTGCGACGGCCACGTTTTTCGTCGCGACCATTTCACTTCCTGGCAGTTCGCTCGCTGCTGTTGTGGCTGGTTCCAAAAAAAAGGGGGGGGGGGGGACATTCTGTAGCTAATAATCTACTGCTACAAACTTAATAGCGCTAACACACAGTAGAACCAGAAGCAACAAGCGTGGAAATGTGTGGAGAAGAGGTTTTCAAATAATCAAGATCTGGGACAACATAAGCCCTTTATTTCGACACTTCAATGCCCGTCCAAGTACCCAATAAGAGTCAACTTAGTTCTTTCTGGATTTTCCAGGCTCTGATCTGAACCTGGAGACCTGCTATACAGACAAATTTTTCGCGGTTTTCATCAGTCCCTCACAAACAAATATAGGAAGATCCCACCGTAAATTACGCAACTACGGCTTCATTCCATATCAATTCTAAATAACTGTTTACAAACAATTCGACGCTAAAAATTATTTGTGTTCATTATCAACAAATATAACGCATTACTGCACAGTATAGTAGCATCACAAATGCACTTCACAAAATCAGACTACCTTTCTGTATATTTCGTAAAATATTAATATATTAGAAATATTATATACAAATGCCAGCACCTTTTGCAAATAATATCAGTCCATTATAATCGTCGACGTAACGATACAATGTGAAAGCTACATGGTACGAGGGGCTTCAGATTAGCCCAAATCAAAAATTGTTAGAAAGACACGTTCTTAATGAGGTACATAATTATGATTATATTGTTAAATTTAACGTTCTCACGGCGGTGAAAATGACGATGGTTTTG